CCGGCCAAGGGGCCCCCCCCCCCCCCCGCCGAGTGCACAAATTTTTGTGCACCGGGCCTCTAGTTATCTATTAATAATAAAAGGGTAATATGCTAATTAGACCAGACATCTTCTGGATGTCATTCTGGATGTCCTTTCTGACGAAGCCGGGGCTGGAGAGAAGCCAGCCCGGGTCCTGGGTGCCTGCGGGCGGCTGGAGGAGGGAAGCAGCCCTTGTCCCGGGTGCTGGAGGGAAGCCAGTGCCAGTAGCTGGGGGAAGGAAGGCCTACTCTTGCACGAATTTTCATGCATTGGGCCTCTAGTACAGTGGGGCCTTGACTTACGAGTGTCCCGACTAACAAGTTTTTTGAGATACCAGCTGTCTTTCGGCCGATTTTTTGCATTGAGTTGACAGAGTAATTTGAGTTAAAGATCTCCTTAACAAGCTCCTTAACGAGCTCGGTCTCAGAACGAATTAAACTCGTAAGTCAAGGCCCCAGTGTAAAGGATATAATAAAGGATACAAATGAACAGCCAGATGAAGAGGTACATAGGGCGAGGTCCAGAGGTTCCTGAGTGCAGGAGCTTTGTCCCTGTGGAGTTGGGGTGCACCACCCTCCCAGCACTTATTTGTGTTAACAACTCAGAAGCTCTCTGAACCCCTTAGTTTAGGGATTTTTGTGGAAGCTTTTTCACAGACTTATCATCAATTATTAACTCAGTGTCCAGCCCCTCCCCCCTCTCCAGAGGACAGAGCATGGGGCTGAGAGTCCCAACCTTGTAGTCACAGCTTGGTCTTTCTGGTGACCAGGACCCATCCTGAAGCTATCCTGGAGCCCACCTAGAGTCCTGCCATTAGAACAAAAGGCACTCCCATCACGCAGCAATTCCAAGGGATTTAGGAGCTCTATGCAAGATGCCCTATCACTCAGACAATTACGAAGATTCAGGAAGCTGTGTCAGGAACTGGGAGGTCAATGACTAAATATTAGAATAAAAGATGTTCTTATCAACCCTATCTCTCAGGAAATTACAAGGGGTTTAGGAGCTCTGTGTCAGGAACTGAGAAAAGAGACCAAATACATATTTCTTATTATGTCATAGGTGGATATATGACATTATATATTTGGCAAAACCCATAGGAATGTACAACACAAAGATAAACCCTAATGTAAACTCTTGTTCATAATAATCCATTAAATATTTGTTCAACAATGTGACAAATGCATCACACTAATGCAAAGGGAAACTGTAAGCAGGGGAGAGAGGGAATGTTCTACACTAACTGCTTAATAATCTGCAAACCTGAAACTGCTCTAACAAAACAAAATATATTATTTTTTAAAAGAAAAAAAATTGAATAGTCAATGAGGTTAGTTGTCAAACTGGTCAGTGAAAACAGTAATATAACATTTATGGAGAGGAATTTAGTACAGAAATAATCTAGTTAAATCATTGGTTAATAATCCATGTTTTATCAGAACTGTCTGCCATGAGACCCTATCAGAAGAAGCTATGGTCTCCATGCAATTAGGAGTAACAGTTGAAAGAAAGTCTACACTGACATAAACCAGGGCCAGATATAGATAAGAAAGATAATGCTACATATTTTTAAAGTCAAT